AACCACTTTTCGGCTAAATTTTGACAGTCAGACATAAAATTCAACAACAAAATTCGATAAAAGCTGATAGAGATCAGAAGATCACAGCAGTTTCCGTTGCCTTCGCAATTTTTTTTTTGTTCTCCCGGTAAAAATCTTTCTATAAAAAATCTACTGAAAATAAAACTCAGTAAATTCTCAATAATTTACACTTTAAAATCTAATTTCTGCGACGGCTGTTTATTCTCCTCCAATCTCTTGTCGAAATTTAGTGCTTGTTTTTGGCAAAAACAAGATATCAGCAAAAAAAAAAAAATTAATAAACGTAAATAAGTGTATCACTCAGAAAAATTAAGGAAAAAAATTGAGCATTTAATTAAATTTTGCTAGTCAAATAACAAAATTTGTATTCGAATAAAAATCATTATTCTTTGGAGCATTATATATATTTTGGTTTTTTGAAAATTTATTGCTTAAACCAGCTAACAACCAATTCTACCAAAATACCCTTTATTGCGTAACAGTAAAATGAGCGCTTTAGTGCAATTATTTATTTATTTATTCATTTCTTTCTATCTTTCTTTTTTTTGAGACAAAAGAAAGTCGGTAAAAGATAAGTTGTTAAAACTACGAAAAAAAATTCTTTTGGGATTGGAAAATTCATCCTTTAAACTTGTTGATAAAGCACTGGAGCACAACACGTGTTTAGATGGGCGTCACGTACCTGAATTGAGCTGAAGCCAAAATAGACAGCTTGGGCTATAACCGCATTGTAATAACAAGCAATATATGTACATATAAAACATATACCATAACCGATTCCTGAAAAAAAAAATTTGAGTTAATTTTTGTAGTATTTTTAAAAAAAATTATTTTTTATAACATCACGATAAGCGATCAGCAAGCAATTTCTTCTGCCAAATCCTCTTTACTATTTCGATGCCTGAATGAATCTCAAAAGAGACAATATTGGTAAAAAGGTGTTATCAGCCACAATATATTACCCTATCAAACAGAAATGCGTAGCTACACTTTATGAAATAATTTTTATCTTTTTTTCTTGTTGCTGAATACAGCAAAACAAGAAAAACCACGTTGCTGCATCAAATGACGTATTATTCTCGATTAATTAATTATTGCTCATCCGTTTTATAGACTGATCAACGTATTTCTGATAGATTAAGAAAAAGAGTGGTGTAAATAACTGTCATTTTAATGCAACAATTTATCATCTTAATTTAGCCTGTTTTACTATTGAAAAATTTAAAAAATGAGGAGGTAATTTAGCGATCATTGATTATTGCTCTTTATAATATATAATTGATGCAGTATCGACTAGCTTAAATTTTTGTTCAATAAATTTCTATCATCTTCAGTATAGCTTTAATTTTTTTTGGTAACGTATAAAAGAAACACTTAATGATACCTTTGAACATGGGACAAATTTTTTTCCATATACTAATACAGCCACATTTATGATATTGTCCTAATGCAAGTTCCATGTAAAAAATTGGTAAACCACCAATCAACAACATCACCATGTATGGTACCAGAAATGCTCCTAAACATTAAGCTTGCACAAGTAGGTTTTGTAAATGTTTTAAAATAATTACTAGTCAGAAAACCATTCAAAAATTGTTACCATAATATTAAAATTTAGAAAAAAAAAAGACAAAGAATTTTAGTTTTACCTCCTCCATGTTTGTAACATATTGATGGAAATCTCCATATATTGCCAAGATCTACAGCATATCCAATAACAGCAAGCAAAAATTCCACTTTATTTGTCCACTTTTCACGCTCAACAGACTGACGTTTTTTGTTCACATCTGTATATTTGGAATTCTGTGTTACCGAAGGTTGTGATCCCGCATAGATTGTTTCTGTATAACACTGCAGTAATTTATCTGGAGCTTTGAGTTCTCCTAGAGCTTTCAGAAAGAGAACAAACAGACAAAAAAAAAACGGTCCACAAAATAGTTTATTTGCTGATTTAAATGTATATTTACATGAGGTACCGACTGTTATCATTATTATTTAGATTTAAGTCTTAAAAAAAAATTACCTAAATTTTTACTTTTATTTTTAATTTAATGCATTTATTTGCAAATTGTCATCACAATTTTTTTGCTGAAAATATATTTTGAGAAGTGGTAACCTGTTTTTTTTCTTTTTTACGTTACACAAAAAAAGTTTTTTGTTTGTCGAGAAATAAATTTTAAAAAAACAAATAGAATTTAATACCTGTTATTACAGTAGCCGTGTGTTCACCATCTGCAGCTGAAACTGGTGCTATGATTACTGTTGGTGGTTTTACAACATTTGGCAAACTACCAAATTCTATAGATCGCCTTGCTTTTTTGTCTGAAAGAAAAAGAAGAAAAAAGAGAGAAAAGAAGAATAAAATAAAAGAAAAAGTCGAAGCAGTGAGAAAAAAAAATTTTTTAATCTTTTAAAAACATTAGTTTTTTTTACATTTTTACCAATTTTTCTTTCCCTTCTGTTTAGTTAACTGCTAAAACAGCACCTTTACGCTATGATATCAGTTTATTGAGCAAAAAAAAAACTGATATCAAATGAACAGAACAACAAAATTAACAATCATCTACAATAAACTTGATTGCCGCGTTCTTTAGTAGTATGCAACTTTTAACAGAAAAAAAAAAAAAAAAAAAAAAAAAAAAAAAA